CGGGGGGGGGGGGGCAGGGGGCATCCAGGTTACCACAGGGGTTTTCAGGGGAGTGAAAAATAAAGCTGATTATGAGCCCAAGCTTTGTCTGACCCAGCCGGGTCTCTCCCCGAGCAGACGGGTGCTTCCCCCAGGAGCCCAGCGCCCTTCTTGCTCCTGAAACTGGTAGTGGTGACAGATACACTGCCTTGGACTCTGGAGGGTCTGTTTCAGACGACTTAAGCCTGCAGTTACTGCCCTCATGGCAGAGAATTCGATGGATGAATTGTCATCCTGCCTGAATTTCCTGCCCATGAAATTTCTTCAACCGCAGCCGTAGGAGAGGAAAGCCTCTCTCTCTGCAAATGTACACCCTCGCCAGGTCCCCCAGCCCTGCCCAGAAGCGGTCCCATCTTGGCCCCGTAGCCCTCCTCCTAAAGGCCACTTGCGTGATGTTTGGTGACAAGGTGGCCCTTCAGCCAAATTGGAGCAAAATGGGCAGAACGTTTTTCTTAAGGGGTATTTGGGGAGTTCCAGCATGGGGGTTGATGGAAGGGCGGCAGTGGCAGCGATTGCGAGAGGGCAGGACTGTTTGCCGTCTGTCTGAGCCTGGCTCTGCGGGGAGGGTCCCCAGTTCCCAAAGGGTCCTGCTGCGGGGTTCTGTCCCAGCCCCATTGCCTCTTGAACTCCCTGGCATGCCCAGAAACATCCTTTGGCTCAAAGAACAGCCTCGGGTGTTAGGAAGTGAAAACAGCGGCAGATCCCTGCAGGTGGGAGGACCCTTGAGGCACAGAGTCCAGCCCCTGCTCAGCGCAAGAGTCGAAATCAGGGCTCTTCCGGGCTTGGCTTCAGCGCAGCCGGCCACCGGGAGCCCACTGCCTCTCTGACGTGGGTTTCCTCCTCAAATCTGCTTCCTCCAACTCTGCTTTCTCTTCTCAAGGCTGAACGTGCCTGATGCCCTCAGCCTCTGCAGAGGATTTCAATTCTCATCCTTGCCGCCATCCCCTAAATCTGTTCCACGTTTTTAAACATTACCCAGCAGTGGGCGAGGAGCAATGCAAAATAAAGTGGATCCATTGCATCCAGTGAAACTAACTTAGGTTGATGCAGCCCCAAACTGCCTTTCTCCTGTTTGTAGCCAGTCGCACTGCTGACTCATCTTCCCTTTGCCATCCACGATCCTTCCCACAAACAGGGTCCCCCCCTCCCCCCATATCTCTGCATTTCATTTCTGTTTCCAGCATGAAGAGCATTGTAGTTCTCGCTGCTAAACTTCATCTTATTTTTTTTTAGCCCAAGGTCATTGGGAATTTTATTTCCATCTTTAGCATATTAACTGTTCCTCCCGATTTCGTGTCATAAGAACAGCCCTGCCGGGTCAGGCCGAGGCCCCTCTTTCTGATGGGGACAACCCGAGACGGAGACATTTTCCTCTCGCAATTGCTCCCTGCAGCTGGCATTTGGGGGCCAGCCTGCTGCCCCGGTCAGGGGTAACACGGACCCTTCAAGATGAAGAGCCCTCCCTGGTCTTCGAGGATTTATCCAGTCCCCCTGTAAAGTCATGAATTCCGCAGGTTATTGACTTATTTGTACAAACATGTGCATATTGCCTACTTCAGAGATTCAAGGTGGTTTTCAACTCCACAAAAGCAAAGAACACAAACATATCATTATAGAGTTCAGACAGGATAGGTATAACACCACCCTGTCTGTAAGGCAGCGCTCTATCCCCATTTGTGCTCTTTACTTGGTGAGTGTGTGTGTGTGTCAGGCAGCTCCTTAAAAGCTGGGGCTCAGGAGGCAGCATCAGGAAGAACTGGTGGAGCCCCTCTCTTCCGCTCAGGATCTCTCCCCTGAAAGCACACCCCAAATGGGCCAGGTCTGCCTGTGGGAGATGGCCCTGCAGGCACCCTGGAACCAAGCTGTGTTGTTTAGACCGACCATAGCTTCCAAGTCCTCTTCAAGGGCAGCCCCGTAGGCAGTGCATAGCGGGGTCTTTCCTGCGAGGAAAGGAGGGCCTGAGTCACTGCCCCGAAAGGCTCAAAGCTGGACAAAGGCCACCCTGGCCACAATCTCAGGAGCCCAGGAGGACTTCCAAGTTGCAGGCCCATTCCTTAGCAGTGAAATCAGTATTGATCTCCCAGCAAACAGCAGCTCTCCTTTGTAGCTTCTTTGGGCCCTTCCGGGTCCTCAAGGCTCCAGACCGGGATCCCTGATCCTGCCTAAGGTGGTCTTTCATGTAGAAATTAAGTAGCGCTTAGTTTTGAAAGGAAGCAGATGAGAGGGGACATGATGGAGGTGTACAAATGTGCGCATAGTGTGGGTAAGGTGGACAAGGAGAAACGATGCTCCCCTTCCCAAAATACTAGAGGTCACCCCATGAAATTGAGTCAGGATCCACAAAAAGAAATATTTTTTTACACAACACGTAATTCAGCTTTGGAATTCACAACCACCAGATGTGGTGCTGGCTACCAGCTTGGCTGGCTTCAAAAAGGGTTGGGTCAATTCATGGAGGTCCTGGGCACCAAAGGCTATTAGCCTGGAAGGCAGTGGGACTGCCTCTGAAGCCCAGATGGGCTTCCTTGCACGGTTGCTGGTCCCTGGGAGAAGAGACAGCTGGATGAGATGGGCCAGGGGTCCCATCCAGCCGGGCACAGCTTCTGATCTTAGTGTCTGTTCTGCGTTTCCTTCCAATCAGCTTCTTCCTTGAGTGACCTCTGGTGTTTGGGGAGGGAGAAGAACTGCCGGCCGAATCCCTCCATGCAACGCGTGGTTCTTTCCTCTTTTCTAAGCTGAAGGAACTTCTGAGCCTTTTCTGGTAGAGAAGGGGTTGCAGCACCCTGACAATCTTGGTTGCCCTCTTCTGCACTTCCCCCAGCTCTGCAGTGCTTTTCAAACGTGATGACCAGAACTGCTCACGGTGCTCCTTTCCTAACAGTTCCTACCGTGGAATCCACCTTTTTCACTGCTGCCAGACCCTGACTTGATATCTGTGCTTAATTCTCTGCTATGACTCCACGATCCTTTTCTTTGTTAGTTCCTGACAGCTCGGCATCTTTGTGAAATTAGACCTATGGGCATCGCTTCATCCTTACTTAAATTGAACCACGTTTGCTGTTTGATTGACAGCCCAGTTTGAAAGGTTCCTTCCAAAGCTCCCCACAACCCCTTTTCGTTTTTGCCTTTTGGAAGAGTTTGGTATCATCCCGGGTCCTTGGGGTCCCCTAGGATCCTTGCGCTTGCCCGTCAGAATGCCATGGTGTCCTGCGCTGTTCTGAAGTGAAGGCATGCGTCTGTGGCATTCCCACAATGCGCCGGAGAAGTTGACCGATCAGTGCCTGATTCAAGGTTGGTTAGGCAAGACTTGGTGGCGGTGTTCTTTTCGAGATGCCGGCTGACTGGTTGCTCTTTAGGGCTTGGCCCAACAATCAGCTGCGTCCTTCAGTGTCCCGGGATGCAGGTCCCGAGGATCAAAACTCATTCAGTGTAAGCGAGTTTTCCCTGACCGTGCTTCTGTTAGGCTTCGGTCCTGCCTGCCCCTTCGTCCTGCTCTTCTCAGCTTCTAGGAACTGAGTCGCTCTTCCTTTTTTCCTTTTCTTTTCCTGTTCATTGAGAAGCTAATATCCAGATTCCAGAAGAAGGGAGGAGTGACCGGGAACAGTGTTTTTGGAGGAAGTTCTACCAGGCCGTTATCTTACCAGGTTCTTCTCATTGTGAGGGTCATTCTTTCTAATTCAGCTGACGTAGCAAGAGTGGAAGAATCAAAGACCCGGGAAACCGTTTTGCAGGGTGCCCATTAAAGCCCCCCCCCTGCAGCGATGGGGCTGCTGAAAGCCAGCACACCTGTCACCTGGGCGAGGCCGGGCCCCTTGCCGGAATCTGAATTTCTGAGCAGGCCATTTGTTACTGACAGGTGGAGGTGACGGTTTTATGGGCTCGGGAGGCTGGCTGGCCCAGCCTTATTGTGATTAAAATTCCCTTCCTCGAGCTGAGCGACAAATCACCCCTTCCTTGGGCAGCAGTGGAGGGAAGCAAGCAGCCGCGCGTGGCAGGGAGGAGAGCGGTTCACGCTCCTCCTTTGCCTTGCAAGGCTTCCGTCTGCGGCTCCCAGTGGGGCCCAGTAAATTCCCCGGATTGGCACGGTTGAGGGAGCACAAGGCATGGGGGATGCTCTCTGGCGCAGGAGCTGGGTCCGGCAGCAGCAGCAGCAGCAGCGCTGCCAGGCCGAGGGAAGCCTGCTCAGAGATGCGGCTCTGGATCAGACCCGAGTCCTTCTGCCATGGGGGTGCCCCACTGATCCAAACTGGGCGGGCTGACCCAGAGATCACAGTGCAGAGTGAATGTGCCTTGGGTCTCCCAGAAAGTGGGCAGCAGCTTTAAGCAGCAAGGGCGCACAGCCCCCGTCCCCTGCCTGCTGGATCCGGAGACCTGCCTTGCGAAAGGCAGCAGCATGGTTTTCCTGCCTTGGGAAAAAGCAGCAGCATGGTAAGTGCTAAAAGAGGCTCAACATTAAAATATTAAGCCTTATTTGGAGTCCTGGGTCCAGTTCTGGGCACCACAGCTCAGAAAGGGCAGTGATAAATTGGAACAGATTCACAGGAGGTTACCAAGATGCTGAGCGCCCTGTGAGGATTAAAGGATTCGGCTAGGTTTCACCCACAGAAAAGATGACTGAGAGGAGTCAGGGTAACATCTGAGGAGTTACTGCACAGGAGGGGGAGTGGGCCTGTTCTCTGGGGCCCCGGAGGCCGGGAGCGGGGCCCGGGGTCGCGACCACAAGGCAGGCGGGACACCAGGAGGCGCTTCCTGGCCGCGGGAGCTGCTGGCCGGCAGAACCGGCTGGCCCGGGGGGGGGGGGGGGGGG